CAAGAGACTCGACGGCACATAACAACAACATCATGTTCTAACAGGTTGTTGTTGTTTAGTTTCCACATGGGTGGTTTTATAAGTTTTATTTTCTTGTGGTTAATTTCCAGTTTTATGGCATTGTGGTCTGAGAAGATACTTTGTATTATTTCAATGTATTTTAATTTGATGAGGCTTGCTTTGTACCCTAACATGTGATCAATTGTGTAAAATGTACCATGTACACTTGAGAAGAAACTGAATTGAGTTATAGTTGGGTGCAGTACTCAGAATACATCCACAAGATCAAGTTGGCTTAATATATAATTTCGAACTTTTGCACCTTTGTTAAGTTTCTTTTGAGTTGACCTATTCTTTGGTGAGAGTAGTGTGCTACTACTAGAGAGCACTATTCTTGTGCTGTTTGTGTTTTCCTTCAGTTCTGTTAAGTGCTGTTTTATGTATTTCGAAGGTCTATCATTTGGTGTGTAGATGTTGACCAAGGTTATGTCTTCATGACCTCTTGTGACTTTAGTCATCACATAGTGCCCATCATTATCTTTTATTGTGGTTTTCATCCTGAAGTCTATTTTATCAGAGATTAGTATTGCCACTACTGTTTTTTTGTGAATGCAATTTGCTTGGTAGGTTTCTTTTTTTAAGTCCTTGATTTTGATTTTCAGTCAATCATATTCCTTGTTTCTTAGATGTATCTGTTGTGGGCTTTGGTGTTTTTTTTGTTTGTTTGTTTTTTGTTTTTGTTTTTTTTTTTAATCTATTCTGCTACTCTTTTCCTCTTGATTGGTGCATTCGGTCCATTCACATCAAGCATGATTTTATTGTTTTATCATTGCCATTTTACTGGGTCGTTTTTTTCAGGTTATCCTGGTGGAGGGTGGAGCTGGGAAGTAAGTGGGTCAAGGCACTGGGCTAGGGGTGGGGTCAACACTGTAACTAATGCTTAACTCCACAATAAGGGATTTATCTTTCACTGCTCCACAAATTGCTTGTCTGTCAGATACTCCTCTAAATCTGAACATTCAGATTAAGACAGACTAGGAAGAAGGATTGGCCACCCACT